ATGTGTTAACATGTACAGCCATGGTAAATTGTTAAGTGAAATAAAAGCAAATTTGCAAAGCTGTGTGCAATTGGTAATTGGTATTTTAAAAATAAATTTTACTACCTTTATATATGCATAAAAATCTTGAAACTTTGTATACCTAACTGTTAACCACAGTCATATCTGGATAGGTACAATATGAATTCATTTTTCTTGAATCCACATTCATTGACTGATTTTGTGAGTAAGCAGGCATTAATTTTTAAAATCAGGGAAAAAAATACCTTTAAAAAATGAAACAAAAGGAGCAAAGGGTTTTTTAAGAATCAAACATGTTGTATTCAACAAAAGTGTTTTCTGAAGCTCCTTCTGACACCCCATTCAGGTGACAGTAAAGAAGTAAAAGACAAAACCTACCAGGGCAAAGACAGTGGAGCTGGGAAGCCACCAACATATAGCCACAAACTTAGATCAGAGGAAGCAGAAAACCAGGCAGATTGATTTCAAGGTGCAGGACCCTTGGAGGGCTCAGGAAGTAGAGACACTGAAGTGTTACTCAGAAGTAGGGAGCATCTGGGGATGGAAACAGGATTATTGATTGAAAGCCTATATAAGCAGTTGCTGGAAAATCCATTCATCTATCCATCCATCCATCCACCCACTAATCCATCCATCCATCCAATCAATCAAGCCCTAAGTTTCCTCCCCTACCCCACACAACAGTGTGACTACTTTTCCCCCAACTTGAACCAACAGTTACAAATTTATTTTCTGGAGAAACTGATCTAAAAGAACTCTGGATGAAGGGAAGACTGGCACAGCTGAGGACAGAAGGAAACAAGGATGACAAAAAGCCAAATTATATAAGAAGTGACACCCCAGGCCTCTTTCCCCATGTGGACTCCAAGAACACTGGATGCCTCCCTCACTCAGCTATACAAGCCTGGGCTTGTCACTTCACCAACTCTACTTTGTAGTTTCTTAAGGTGTAAAATGGAGTTCGCTTATTAAACAAATGTGTGTTGAGCACCTATTATGGGCCAGCAAGCTGCATTACATTCTGGAATAACAGTAAGCCTGTCAGGGTCCTTATCACCTAAAGCCTGCGTTCTAGTGCCTCAGTGGCAGTGCCAACCTCAGAAGTGCTCAGCACAGTACCGTGCTGATAGTCATGATGTTATTAATTTGAATGTCTCAGCTCCCTCTGCTTCTTGGAGACAGAACACAGCAAATCTTTCCAGTACTCCCAGAAAAGACAAAGTTAGAGCTTTGCCTAGATTGTTCATCATTATGTAACTCTTCATGGCAAATTTGACTTTGAAACTCCCTTCTGTCCAACCTCTTGACTGACTTATGTAGGACCAAGGTCACCGTTTTTCTACGTCTGACACAGCCAGAAAAGGCCTTTGCAAGTCATGGCATGAATCCAAGAAGCGTGATCCCCAGCTGAATTTACATTTGTGCTAAGTCGCTTCAGTCATGTCTGACTCTGCAATGCTATGGACCATAGCTCACCAGGCTCCTCTGTCCATGGGATTTTCTAGGCAAGAATATTGGAGTGGGTTGCCATTTCCTCCTCCAGGGGATCTTCCCAACCCAGGGATCGAACCCACGTCACATCCATCCTTTAAAAGCCTTCTATTTACCTATCCAAACAGGCAAACAGTCCAGATTTTCCTCCTACTGCACAAAGTACTTTGGGAGCACAATGAGGTCATGTCATCAAGACTGTTTGATGAGACTTAAAATGGTGTCTTTGTGAGGTTTTAGGTGGGCTTGGTCCTTAGTTGTTGCATCTGCAATGATGCTGAGATATCCAGAGCAGGAGAAGGGGTAGAATTCTGGAAAAAAGTTTTTTGGTCTTCAAACCAAGACACTGCATCACCTCCCAATGCTGGATACAAAACCAATTTCAAGTTTATCAGTGGGAATAACTATGCTAGTTTCCATTGCTAGAGGGGAGAAGTTAACACCAGTGGTGCCTTTCACACCCGATGTCTTGGTGTTCATAACAGCTTTGTGAGGTAGGTGCACTCATAGCCCCATTTCACAGGCATGGAAAATAGAGGGCAGCTAGATAACACACCCAAAGTCTTCCATCTAATAAGAGGCAGCACAAGGTCTAGGAATCCAAATTCTTGGGTGGAAGTCCCAGCCATCTTTCCCAGCATGTTTGCACTTTCATCACAAGTCATTCTTTCATCTCCCATAAGACAAGGAATTCTGTCCAAGACCCCTCCTTCACTGAGTTGAAGCAAGAGTGCGCAAAGAATCAAACTTAGATAATGACACTCTAATCTACATTTACATAGACCAAAGAGTCTGTCATGTCTTTAAAGAAACTCAAATGAGTTTCTATTTTAATATAAAACTGAGTTTGCTGAATGAAACACAGAACCCTGAAATTCAACAGTTCAGTGTTTCCCATAAACACGTGACTCTGAGAATTCTGTTGGGTAAGTGTAGCAACCCAAGGGCTTCCCAGGTGGTGCAGTGGTAAAAAACCCATCTGCCAATGCAGGATACAAAGGTTCGGTAAAGAACCCACCTGCCAATGCAGGATACACAGGTTCGGTAAAGAACCCACCTGCCAATGCAGGATACACAGCTTCGGTAAAGAACCCACCTGCCAATGCAGGATACACAGCTTCGGTAAAGAACCCACCTGCCAATGCAGAATACACAGGGTTCGATCCCTGGGTTGGCAATATCCTCTGGAGTAGGAAATGGCAACCCATTCTAGTATTCTTGCCTGGGAAATCCCATGGATAGAGGAGCCTGGCAGGCTACAGTCCATGGGGGTCGTAAAGAGTGAAAACATGACTGAGATTCTGAGCACAACAACAATCTGAAAAATTTATCAGGAACTGACAGCACAGACTGAGTGAGTCTCGAATAGCTTCACTTGTTGAATCTCTGTTATAATGCTGGGAATTCCTGTAAGATTAGGTAACTATCCTAGGGCTTTCTCTTTCAAGAAGCTTCTGATCATCCCTGGATCTAAGAAAAGCCTGTGTCTAGATTTGAGCTAGTGACTTTGAAAAACACATCAAGCACACCAAGAGATATGCAAGTGCTGCCAGAAATTTATTTTGACCTTTGTTTAAAAAAAAAATACTGACGCTGGCCACCCTCCCAGCACTCTTCTCACCAGCCAGGACATTAACATTGATTAACAAACACAATGTCTGTGAGAGTCAGCTGCAGGATAATCAAATGTATTGTTATTATTATTTTGTTAATAATTTCTTTGGCCAGGAGTACATAATGTCAAATTGGCAAAAATAACTTATCCTCTTGTCCAGCCCACAAACTGAGAAGAAAATTCAGCACACAATTTTTTCTTGTTTGCATTTCTCAGGGTGTGAAGCACTCATTTTCAAACCCTCAAAATCTCTACACTTTCCATAGTGCAAAAAATTGCCCTCCCCCCCTGCCCAAAATTGCCCTCCGTTCTGATTTAAAACAGGGAATCTTGTTTTCCACAGAAGGGTGATATTGTATTAGTCTAAGAATCTGAGGTATAGAGACATTTTTCCTCGCAGTTGTATTGAGATACAATTGCCATACAGCCTACGGAGGCTTCTAAATTAAGGAGATAGAACCTTCTAGAGTATAATAGGCTTCTCAGGTGGCGTTAGTGGTAAAGAACCCGACTGGCCATGCAGGAGACGTGAGACTTGGGTTTGATCCCTGGGTCAGGAAGATCCCCTGGAGGAGGGCATGGCAGTCCACTCCAGTCTTCTTGCCAGGAGAATCCCAGGGACAGAGGACCCTGGCAGGCTGTGGTCCACGAGGTTGCAAATAAGCGGACACAACTGAAGCTACTTAGCATGCAGAGTATAATAATGTTCTGCTTCTCTTTTCAATGCCCAATTCTACGTGATGAAATTGTTTATCAGGCCAGGAAAATTTGCTGAACCAAGTCAAGGAGAAAATTCCAGCAATGCTGATTTGCCTTCTTTGTGGGTTCATTTACCCCCTTTTTTTTTCTTGGCTACAACATGCAGCATGCGGGATCTTAATTCCCCAACCAGAGATTGGACCAGAGATTGAATCCATCCATGCCCCCCCCAATTGGGATAACAGAGTCTTAAACACTGGACCACCAGGGAAGTCCCTGATTCATTTACTTTTAAGTGCTAGATTTATTTTCAAAAGCACATAGTAGCAGAGGATTCTTCTTGTGGCCTTAAAAACAATCACAGTTGACAAAAGATGGTAAATGTTAGACCCTAATTATTTGTTAGGAGAATTAGTACTACTATGCACCTTACTCTTAAAAGATATTACTTGCTGTACTTAGGCATTTAAAAATAACCTAAAAAGAGATTTTGCTTGTTTGTTTGCATTCTCTTAATATCTCAGAACAAGCAGAGGACATTGAAATGCTGAATTTAACATATTGCTGTCAAAATAGCTCAAGTCTTTTAAGATAATCCCATTAAGTGCAGATTTCTTTTTAAATAGCTTAAACCCGGCCTCACATTTTTGGGCTAAGAATGTAGCTTAAGTGATCAAACCTAAAGGTTCATGAAAAAGATTTTAATTAAATTTCTGAGAATTGATTTTTAAATGTCTGTGATTCATTTTCTGCTCTAAAAACTTCAAAACCCAATGTTTGGGTTTTGAAAGGCAATGGATTTGGCTCCAGAAGAGTGGCCGCTTTCTCTGTTTGGTTTTGGTTTGGCTTTTGGTTATGTGTGTTTGTGTTTTCTAGTTTATTACAATGCCTTGGGCTGAGCTGTTCCCTCGCTTTTTGTCCGACTGCTTTGAGAGGACAGAACTGTGAAGGACTTTATTTTCTCTGTCCTTCATAGAATTTTTCAGAGAAGAGAAGCGGTTGGAGGAAGAGGAGGGAAAAGCACAGGGCTGAACCAGTGAACTCTCCACCAGGGACAAGTTATTGACAAGATAAGGGCAGGGCTCAGGGCAGGCTCCCAGATGAAAGCTTTCACCAGTTTTGCTGGCTCTCTCTTCATGCTACAGCGAACACCCTCTGGGCATTTGTCCTAAAGATGCCCCAGCAGAATAGGAGCCACAAACAAGTAACCAGATCACCGCAGTCCACTGGGAAATGGCACAGCAGAGTGGCCACATGGCTTCATTAAGAGCTCAGAGGAAAGAGGATGAATCTAGACAGGGACTAACAGACCAAGGGACAATTAAGAGGGACTGGGGAGTCTGAGCCCGATGAGAGAGCCTGAGGGGAGAAAAGGCATTTCAGACAGGACAAACAGATGAGGAAAATACACATTGTGTATTCACAGACTTGAGAGAACATCCAGTTAAAGTTGAGGGAGGGTGGAGTCAGTCTCTGGAGATGAACCTATTAGCGTGTCTAGGGCCAGGATGAGTTTGCCACTTCAGGCTAAGGAGTTTGGTGTTGCTCTTTTAGGCCAAGGAGGGTAGTTGGGCAGAAGTGGAACCTGTGGTGATTTGAACAAAATGAATTAGATCTAATTCCACGGAGACTATGATTTTTTTTTTTTTTTGGTGGCAAGGCATGTGGGATCTAAGTTCCCTGACTAGGGATTGAACCTGTGCCCCCTGCAATGGAAGCATTAAGTTTGAACTGCTGGACTGACTGGCAAGTCCCTCCAGGGAGGCTATGGAGGAGGTGGAAGAAGAGGACAGCAGTTTGGAGGCTTACAGCAACAATTAAAAGTGAGAGGTGAGCCCATGGGCAACTAAGACCTCATGCAGCCAAATAAAAACAGAAAAATGTATACATATGTATAAATGAATCACTTTGTTATACATCAAAATACATTGCAAATTAACTATACTTCAACAGAGTAAAAACCCCTTTTTCTGAAAAAAAAAAAAAAAAGTGATAGATGAGGAGGGCTTGAACCAAGGCAGCCCAGCCTGACAGAAGGGAAAAAATGACTGAGATATTTAGGAATAGAAAGGACTGAACTCTGTGCAGATGCCTGAATGCCCAGGTCAAAGAAAATGAGGCATGAGTTGAGGGAAATAAGAGCTTGGGAAGCTGGGGAAGAGTGATGAAATAAGGTGGGAAAAATGATAAGAGTCTGAGTGGATTAAGGTTCTTGACCATGAAGGGGACTCATGAGCATACAGCTGAGAGCTTAAAGGGAAGACAGGCTCTCTGTTGATGGACTGCTGACAAAACAAAAGTACATTATTTATTCATTCAACAACCAAAGAGTATGACCGTATTACTGTACTAGAACTTGGGAATATGATAATGAAAAAACAATAGTTCCTGTCCTCATGAAGTTGAAAGGTGCCCTGGAGAATCCTGGTGGTAGAAATACATACCTGTATTGAGTGTTAAGTCCTACACTAAACACCTTACTTGGATGATCCCGGTTATAAACCTTATTACTTTCAGCAGTAGATAATATTAATATACCCATTTTGTAGAAGAAAAAACAGGGAAAGTGAGGTCAAGGAACTTGTCCAGCTAGAAAGCAGCAGAACCAGGACAGAAACCCAGGAAATCTCATGTTACAGCTCACTTTCTTAACCTCTGCACAAGACGGAGGTGAAAAAGAGGCTGGGAGTTTACCAGGGCACGGGAGTCGCTCAGAGGCTGGGAAAAGATTTGCCACCCAGAGAAAGTTGCAAGACCCTTTCCCAGTCATTTATCTGTAGGGATTTCATTTCAAAGCGATGGATACTTCAAAGCATCTCTTGCTTTCACCTTCTGAAATAAGCAGCTTTTCCTGAATCCTGTGGCATTTACACACCAGTTAAGGTGCTGTCAGACGCCCAGATTCCAGTGCCCAGCTCTGGGTGCCAGGTCCTTCCCTTGTAACACTGATGTAGCCTCTTCAGTCTATCACACTCCTCCGTGGCTCCACATTAATCCCTTAGCACTAGTGGTTTCCATCACATCTTCTGCCAACTAATGCAGTTTGTGCTCGAGGAAAAAAAAAATCTGTTTTATAACTCCAAGGACATTAATAATTAACTTCCATACCACAAAACTTGTAATATCAGTTTGCTGAAATAAAGTCACCAGTAAGTATTTAATTCTTCTTTCAAGGGTGTCTTCCATTATTATTTCAGAGTGCAATTTAGTCATCAAACGTTTACTCAGCCTCATGTTTATAAATTATATAGGCCAGGGATTTAACTCTTCTGGACCTACCTGTTCTGAAAAGAGGCATGGTCATAACCCTGATGTCACACCAGGCACCTGCCTTGAAAGGAGATGACTTGTGAACTTGAAGTTCCTTACCTCTTTTAGAAATGCTGGAGCAAATCTAGAGAGTTCCCTTTATGACGCAATCAGAGGAATAACCAGAAAGCTGCCTGCCACAAAGAGGCACTGGCTTTCCTCCTCCAGAAGGCTGTTAGGAAAGTTTGCCTTTTTTAATTGAGTTTCAGAATCTTGTCTTGATTATATGACATAATAATAGTGGCTTTCCTAGTCATCTGTGTAATATTGTTTTTTCACCGTGGTGGTTACTTTTGTTGAAGGGAAAGGCCTACTGACTTAGATAAATAAGAGAAAAGCAGAAAGCTCCTCACGCCCGGGTTCCCTAACTAGAAAATGCTAAGTCCTGACTTACATATCAGGAGGGTAAGTGTTGCCAATCAAGGACTTATCCAAGTTCAATGCAGTTTAAGAACCCTGGCTTTGATGGTAAAGTGGATTATCTTTTCCATGTATCTTCAAGCCCCATTCAGTATCCCAAGAAATGTTTGTCATCACAATGAAAGCAACAGGGGAGGAGGTTGCAGGTATCGTTCTTTCTTGGTTCCTCCTTTTGAATAGGGCAATATTTTCAGAGTTAAACTGGCTGGCTCCTATGGGGTGGGATTGAAACCCTCCAGGCCGCGGGAGGAGGGTCGGTGGTTTCCCCGCGAAAACCTGCCCTTCCCTCCGGCTACAGGCCTTGGCAGCCATTGGCCAAAGCCCGGCTGGAGGATCCGCAAGGGCTTCCAACTCTCCGAACCGACCCGGGATTCCTGGCCTTGGCATAAAGGGCTGAGTGGATTCATTCGGGGCGCGATGCATTCCAAGAATGCTTCTGTGGTTGGCAAGGAGTAAGAAAATCAAGGATAACAAATATCCTAAGGAAACCTAATAGGTACCAGGAGCATAGGACTCAAATAAACAGGTGACTTAAAGTACGAGGTAACTGGATCTCAGTGAGGGTGAGCGCACACTGCCCAGGGCTGGGGCTTCGACCCTTCTGCATCTCCTCCGTTTTCTCTCCCGGGCTGACACCCGGCCGCCTTTACAGACCAGGGGGCTTGGTGCAGAGGGCGGTCTGAGCCCAAGGCGCGCCTGAATCCAAACAAAACACCTCGCAAGCCTACGTTTAGAAAGCGATACCGAACACCACACTCACGTTTTTTGTTTTTTTTTTTAATAAAAGGCACTGTTTGCAGAGAAGATGACGACGAAAACATTTCCCGGCTGGAAAATTACTGATCACAAACTAAGGGGGAGTGGGGGTGGGGAGGCCGAGTTATAAGACTGAAATAACGATTGCCGTTTCCTCTTCTCTTCCTGGTGGGCAGGGACGGCTGCCGCGAGCTCCGTGGGCCCTGTTCCAGTACCCGGGTCCCACCGCATCGTTCCACGTTCTGGCACCGGGCCACTTTCCAGCCGAGCCCCTTTCGGTGGGTCTGACCGCTCTAGAGCCTGAGCCAAGGGAACGAGGTGCCGTTTGACCTTTACCTCGCCACTTCACCTCTTTATGACTCAGTTTTCTCATCCATAAAGTGGAGAGTTGCGTGCTTTGCAAAGTGCTTTGAGATTCCCGGTTGAAAGGTGTCCCCGCGCCTCACGCCCCTCCCCTCCCCCCACCTCACATACCGAAATCTCTTTCAGTCCCTTCCTCGCTCCTTCAGCTATCAAAGCCGTAGCTCCATTTCCCATTCCGGCCTCTTTCCGCCCTTTTCAGACGGGGAACACCCCTCCCGCTTTCTCAGTCTCCGGGTCCTCGCCACGCAGGTGAGGGCACCCACCTCCCTCCTACTCCCAACCCCCACCCGGGCAGACGAGCCCAGGAAGGACTATGCGAGGCCAGGCCAAATGCCCGCACTGGCGCTCGGGGACTAGACCAGGGCTCCTGCGTGCGTATGACGGACCCGAGCTGGATGAGTCACGCGGATAATCGCGCTCTTCTCCAGTGCGCAGACTGCGCGGCAAGCGCGCACCTGAGCGGGGCTGGGGTAGCGCTACAGTCCCCCTCTCCCCTACCGACCCCTCTTGGCCGCGAGCTTCGAACTCAAGGAGCGGCCCGTGGCGACGCCGACCTGCGCCCCGTACCCAAATCCCCGCGCCGGGCCCGCTGCCGCCACCGCCGCCGGCGTCAGCGCGGCTCCTGCCCGCCAGCTGCCGGGCTGGCGTCACGGCCCGCCGGGCCCCGCCTGCGCCCCTCCCTCCTCCCCGCCCCCACGTGCGCCGAGTTTGTTTATTTAGCTGCCATGGCAACGCGCGGGGGGCCGCTGGAAGGAGGGGAGAAGAAAGGGAGGGGCGGGGCCTGGCGGCTGGCCCGGGCGCGCAGCGGGTAGGAGGCGGGGGGAGGGCGGGAGCGGAGAAGTTATAAGTAAGGAGCGCGCGGCGGCCGCCGGCAGTTCCCCGGCCTGAGAGAGCGAGCGCGGCTGCGGGCGCGCGGGGAGCAGAGGCGGTGGCGGGCGGCGGCGGCACCGGGAGCCGCCAAGTGCCCCTCCCCGCCCCTCCGGCCCCCCACCCACCCACTCACCCGCCCGCGGCCAGCGCCCATGGCCGCGCGCGCCCCGCGCAGCCCCCCGGACTCCGCGCCTCGCGCCGCCGCCCAGTCCGCAGATCCGCGCCACCGCATCCAGTCTCACCTGGCGGCGCCGCCCGCCCGCCACCCCGGCCACAGCCCCAGCGCTCACGGCGATAGCCGCGGCGACCGCGACAGCGGTGGGGGACGCTGCTGAGTCGAAGAGAGCGCATCCTGGCCACCGGACTTACTTAACTCGCCTTGCTGATTGTCTATTTTTACGAGTTTACAACTTTTCTAAGAACTTTCGTATACAAAGGAACTTTTTTTTTTTAAAGGCATCTCCCTTTTATATTTAATCCAAAGAAGAAGGATCTCGGGCAATTTGGGGTTTTGGGTTTTGGCTTCGTTTCTAATTTTTTTTCCTCTTCTTTGGCTTTGGGGTTCGGGTACCCCTACTGCTTCGGACTCCCGAGGACCTTTTGGGCCCCCACATTAATGAGGTAGGTGCGGCGCGGGGCGCAGGGAGGGCTGAGGGCGGATGGGACGCGCCAGAGCGGTGGTCGAGAGTGGCCCCTGATTTCTGCCTCTGCTCCCCACCCGGTCCGAAGGCAGCCACCTGGCGAGTCTGACATGGCTGTCAGCGACGCGCTGCTCCCGTCCTTCTCCACGTTCGCGTCTGGCCCGGCGGGAAGGGAGAAGACTCTGCGTCCAGCAGGTGCCCCGAATAACGTGAGTGTCGGCCCGGGCCTTTGGGGCCCTCCGGTGGGGTTCTGTGGGTGGGATGGGGACGGGCGGAGCCCTGGGATCACCGAGCACCTCTAGACGACCGGCAGGAGTGGCCCCGCACGGGCTCCTCCGCAGGCTACCCGGGATGGCTTCCTCGCCCATGGCTCAGCTGTACATGCGTGTGGTCCCGACGCGGTGGAGCCGCCGGGGGCGCACACCGGGTCCGCACACGTCCCGGAGCGCGCGGGCCACCGGGCGGGAGGTGTCTGTGTCCCCAGACACTGGCTGGGCCAGAGGGAGCTTGGCGCGTAGGCGTCCCCGTGGCGAGGGCGCCCCAAGAGAACCTCGGTGTCCCAATTCCGGGGGCGGCGGGAGCGTCCCCGGGATCCGGCGGGGGTGGGACCCAGGCTGGCGAGCCTCGGCGCTCGCTCACACGCAATTGGGCAGACACAACCTAACATCCTCCATATATCCACGCACCGCCTCTCCTCAGACCCGGGTGTGGGCCATGATGGCAGCACTGGCACCCACAGACCCCGGGGCCCTTCCTGCCCGTCCGGTCCCCGTTTCCAGGCGGTGTAGGCGCGGCGGGCCCACCACTAACATCGGTGGCAGTTAGGGACAGCACTGACTGTTTCTCTCGCGTCCTGTCCCCACAGCGCTGGCGGGAGGAGCTCTCCCACATGAAGCGACTTCCCCCAGTGCTTCCCGGTCGCCCCTACGACCTGGCGGCCGCGACCGTGGCCACTGACCTGGAGAGTGGAGGAGTCGGCGCGGCTTGCGGCAGCAGCAACCCGGCTCTCCTGCCCCGGAGGGAGACGGAGGAGTTCAATGATCTCCTGGACCTGGACTTTATCCTCTCCAACTCGCTGTCTCATCAGGAGTCCGTGGCCGCCACGGTGTCCTCCTCGGCATCAGCCTCATCCTCGTCCTCCCCGTCGAGCAGCGGTCCAGCCAGTGCGCCCTCCACCTGCAGCTTCAGCTATCCAATCCGGGCCGGGGGCGACCCGGGTGTGGCGGCGCCGGGCGGCGCGGGCGGCGGCCTCCTCTACAGCCGGGAGTCTGCACCCCCTCCGACGGCTCCCTTCAACCTGGCGGACATCAACGATGTGAGCCCCTCCGGCGGCTTCGTGGCCGAGCTCCTGCGGCCCGAATTGGACCCAGTGTACATTCCGCCGCAGCAGCCGCAGCCGCCAGGTGGCGGGCTGATGGGCAAGTTCGTGTTGAAGGCGTCGCTGAGTGCCCCTGGGAGCGAGTACGGCAGCCCGTCGGTCATCAGTGTTAGCAAAGGCAGCCCGGACGGCAGCCATCCGGTGGTGGTGGCGCCCTACAGCGGCGGGCCGCCACGCATGTGCCCCAAGATCAAGCAGGAGGCTGTCTCCTCGTGCACCGTCGGTCGGCCCCTAGAGGCCCACTTAGGCACTGGACCGCCTCTCAGCAATGGCCACCGGCCGCCTGCGCACGACTTTCCCCTGGGGCGGCAGCTCCCCAGCAGGACTACCCCGACCCTGGGTGCGGAGGAACTGCTGAGCAGCCGGGACTGTCATCCTGCCCTGCCGCTCCCCCCGGGCTTCCATCCCCACCCCGGGCCCAACTACCCTCCCTTCCTGCCCGACCAGATGCAGCCGCAGGTCCCACCGCTCCATTACCAAGGTCAGTCCCGGGGATGCATAGATGGGGCTGGGGAGCCCTGCGTGTGCCGGCCGTCCGGGGCACACAGGATGACGCTGACCCCACCTTCTTCACCCCTAGAGCTCATGCCACCCGGTTCCTGCATGCCGGAGGAGCCCAAACCAAAGAGGGGGAGACGGTCTTGGCCCCGGAAAAGGACGGCCACTCACACTTGTGATTACGCAGGCTGCGGCAAAACCTACACGAAGAGTTCTCATCTCAAGGCACACCTGCGCACCCACACAGGTAGGAGGACTCGGAAGCCGTGGAAGGGGTGGGGGGCGGCTCATGTCCAGCCTCGACACTCCTCAGGGCCTCCCTTGGGATGTGGGGTGCAGTCTATCTCCTCCATCTCCTGGATCACAGGAGAGAACAGCAAACTGGCGCCTACTATTTTGCCCAGGAGCCTTTTCATGGGCGGATGGTATCAGTGCTTGAAAGTGCAGTTTTGTTAGGCCTTTGAAAGGCGGGGAGATTCCAGGCTGCAGGTGGGCCTCTTCGAGTTTGAGCAAAGCATTGCCCTTGTAATCAAGAAATTATGCCTTGCTGTGCAGAGTCATGATAAGTTTCTTAAACAGTTTTGTATTCTCCACTATTTTTATTGGTTGTTCCCTTCCCAGGGTTCACCCCCTCCCCCTCTCTAGTCCTAACAATTAGGTTTTATTTAGCTCTCAAGGACTTAATGGTTAGGCTTGCTGAGATTTTGATTTAAGATTGTCACCACAGAGAATTTGTGGATGTAAGTAGGTACAGAAGGTCACTAAGGTATAGCTTTCATTAATAATACTGGTACAGGAAAAGTAGTAGTCTCCTGTCACTTTTTAGAAGCAGTTGTAGTGGGATAGGATATTATTGCTTGGTTTGGGTTAGGAGAGACACACTAACAGTCATAATTTCTAAATTCATTTCCTGCCCCTATCTTTGCTCAAAAGAATGAAAACGTTAGTCCAACAGAAGTATAGTTTTAAGTGGTTTTTGTGTTTTCTGCGATTATCTAATTTCCCTTTAAAAAAAAAAAGAGCAAAAGAAAACACACGTAAAATTCCTGTTTATGATCTGAAATTTAATACAGCCCTGAGAAGGTATAAAGACGTTTCCTGGATCCTTTTGGAATGGGGTACTTGAGTTGGTTTGATGTCTGGCTTCCAAGTTCTTAAAATTTCATCCTTCAGGAATAGCTTCCAACGAGTTTTATTTTCCTTTTCTAGGTGAGAAACCTTACCACTGTGACTGGGACGGTTGTGGGTGGAAGTTTGCCCGCTCAGATGAACTGACCAGGCACTATCGCAAACACACGGGGCACCGCCCCTTCCAGTGCCAGAAGTGTGACCGGGCATTCTCGAGGTCGGACCACCTCGCCTTACATATGAAGAGGCACTTTTAAATCCCCAAACAGTGGATGTGACCCACACTGCCAGAAGAGAGTTCAGTATTTTTTACCTTTCACACTGTCTTCCCAGTGAGGGGAGGAAGCCAGCTGGAAAGCACTACAATCATGGTCAAGTTCGCAACAAGTCAACTTGTGAATGGATAATCAGGAGACACAAGGAAACCAAGAGACAAACTCAAACAAAAACCAGATGGGGTCTGTGACTGGATCTTCTAGCATTCCAATTCTAAATCCAACTTGAATATATATATTCCTGGACTTACAAAACGCCAAGGGGGTGACTGGAAGTTGTGGATATCAGGGTATGAATTAGATCTGAGAGTTGGGGGGAGGGAAGACCAGAACCCCTTGAGAATTGTTTTGATGCAATATAAGCATAAAGATCACCTTGTATTCTGTTTGCCTTCTAAAAGCCATTATGACGATCTTAGAAGAAGAGGAAGAAATTCAGGTACAGAAAATGGTGTTTAATAGCCTAAACGATGGTGCTTGGTAAGTCTTGGTTCTAAAGGTACCAAATGAGGCCAAAGTTCTCAAACTGCTGCATACTTTGACAAGGAAAATCTATTTTTGTCTTCCGATCTACATTTATGACCTAAGTCAGGTAAATACACCTGGTTTACTTTAATCTTTTTATGCAGACAGTCTGTTATGCACTGTGGTTTCAGATGTGCAATAATTTGTACAATGGTTTATTCCCAAGTATGCCTTAAGCAGAACAAATGTTTTTTCTATATAGTTCCTTGCCTTAATAAATATGTAATATAAATTTAAGCAAACTTCTATTTTGTATATTTGTAAACTACAAAGTAAAAAAAATGAACATTTTGTGGAGTTTGTATTTTGCATACTCAAGGTGAGAATTAAGTTTTAAATAAACCTATAATATTTTATCTGAGCCTTGTTTTTGTTTTGCATTGTTTTTCCCCGGGAAAAGCACATAACAGAAACTGCAGTTTAAACCCAGTGGGTAAAGCTCGGGAAAAGCACCCCCAAAAAGCCGACTTTATCTCAAGAGATTAAAAGAAGACTTTTAAAAGACTGCTTAGTTTTACAATGAGTACTGTATAATGCTGTGGGCTGAAACCTCTGAGGATTTATGATCATAGAATTAAACTTAGCTAGTTCAGGTTTCTCTTTCAAATGCTCATTAAAAGATATAGGAAAGCAGTTTCCCTACCTGACTATGAACTTCCAGGTAGAAACGGCTCATTCTTCAATTTGCTCAGTTTACTATGAGAGTAGTCATAAACATACATGTTCCAGTTTCACATTTTAAAAGATCTTTATGGTTTGGTCTTTAAAATCGAATGAAAATGTAAAAGTCTCTCTTTCCCAGGCCTGGCCTTGCACTCAGAACAATTTGTATAACAAAAGAACCTCCCCACAGCGGACAATATCAAGAACGCAGTTCCACAGTGCCCTCCTGAGGATTAAAGGATTCACTTATGTTTGTGTGTAACAGATACATTACTTTTAGAGCTCCAAAAGAGGGTAGAACCAAAGTTTCTAGCAAATTTTTAAAACTTCATCAGTCCTCAGATAAGCCGGCCCCATTGTTTCAGCTTTTGTTTCATTGAAACAAAAGAGGCAAAAATGACTCAGTCACAAAACCAAGGGTAATGTAAATTTGAGTACATTTTAAATCGTGTTTTTGGAAGTTGGTAGCATATTTCTTGAATTATTAAAGCTTAAAACTTTTTTTACGGTGGATACCCAAGAATCTGAAGTTCATTTGTGGCTGTCACAGAGTGGAAAAAAGCATTTGTGACACTTGTTGACATTATGTATTTGTAATGGTGATGTGGGTGACTAATTAACATTGTCAAGCGGACAGAAGCTGACTGGCATTTTCTTTAGACTGCTTATTACCTGTCCATTATAGCTGGTGTCCAGAGGTGTTTTGGCACTGTGGGTACATTTTATAAACGGAATGAAAAACAGAAATTCGTAAGAGGCTCATGGTGGATCAACACAAAGTATTTTCCTTGGCTTTTAAGAGTTCAGCATGACTGGAAAACGTGGCATGTGTCTTAGCTTAAAAGAAAACAGGTGCATCAATAGGATGGAATTTTATGTGGCCAAGAACATATTCAAAGCATATTTAATGACATGGAAAAATGCTCACGGTATGTTAAGTGGAAAAAGCAGGATATAAGACTAAACAGAATAATTCCAATTGTATAAGTTCAAATGTGTGCATTGAAGGAGAGAGAAGAAACAGAAAATTAAGAGTAAAGACCGGAAGGAAACATCAAGATACTAACACTGGTTTTCTTGGATTAAATTTTTTCATTTCTAACTATTCCAAAATAAGTACCTATTTTAAATGGAGAAACTTTTTTTAAAAGGGTATAGGTGCAAGTATTTAGGCTTTATTTTTAAAAGAGCAATTAAAGTTATTTAAACAGAAAGTCGACATTCTGTTACCCTTTTCTTTGTATTAAATTATGGTTCCTGCTCTTGGAATCCACCTTTCTCTTATACAGAGGTTTCCGGCATGTAGTTTGTGTGTGAAAAGTGTTTATCAAAAGCTTGTTTTACCATTTTCTTGTTTACTAAGTGTCTATCATCTCAGGTAGAAGAAGCATCATAAAATACCAAGACATAGTAAATGTGTTTAAATTTTCTTATGTCATAAGGAGAAAATAGTGCATTAACTTTTTCTAACCTGAAGAAGAAAGCTTCGGTATCTAAAATGAGATTTTCTAAAAATGTAACAGGACAAAACTATTCAAGATGCACGAATAGCTAAACTATTTACTTTAGTACCTGTCAGTTCTGAGCTCCTAGGTGTACTGTCATTACTGCATTACAGAGCCGTTTATACTGTATAATAAAGAGTACCCAATAATTGAGATGCCTGCTTATTACATTTTCCTCATGACATTTAATTTTATATGTCCTAGATTTTAACTTGTGTGTGTGTGTGCGCACACACACAGGATTAACAATAGTGTTTCCTACACATCAACAGACTTTCAGTCTCTTCCCTTCCAACAAAATGCCTCTTCCAGCAAAATAATTCTTTGAACCTTAGAACCTGTTTGACTCCTACAATCTTGTTTGGGTTTGTTAAAACAGGAAACTTCACCATCTCAAGCAGGACAATCAGGGATTCATCCTTTTAACTGTCCCCGGTTTTTAGAAATAAGCAAAGTTGTTTCAGATTTGGAGAGTCACAATTTTTACATATAATTTTTTTACGTATAAGGAAGCCAAAGTGAGACAGTCTTTACGCCATGGAAGCAAGTCTGCAGGGAAAATATTAAAACAAGCAGTGGTGGGACCCATTGTACTTTGATCTCTGGGAATATCTAAATTTAGCAGCCTATGTAGCCACCTGTTCTATTATATGTTCTGGCTTCTGAAGCTCCATTCAGCATAATGCCACACACTCAAAAGTGAATTTATAGTCCTTATTCTCTATCTCCCCACCTTCGCCTTTCTCCCTGTCTTGTAAAACACACACACACACCATCCGGACCTACCCAAACCTTTTTTGTGTATTTATCATTTTGTCCTTGTGTTTATTATTATGTATTAACCTTTTATGTGTTTTATTTCCTCGTCTTTCCTGAGCACATTTTACACACTATTGTATAGTGACATGTTTTTACAGCTCTAAGCTGAAACTATTTCTGCTTCCTAAAAGTTGTTGAGGAAACTCCTTCACTGTTCGCATGCAGAGCACACAGTCATATTTCATACAAAACTACCAAGAATGCTGTACATAACAAATGCTGTGGACTATATCACGGAATGTTCTATACTCCGTGAAAATGTAAAGATAGTACAGTTCCAATCAGAATGCTTTTGATTGCATTTGATTGTATAATATCTCCCCCCACCCCACATTAAGTGAAACTAAAATGCAAGTTGAGAACAGACACTCTTTGGAAAGCTTTAACTTAGCCCCCAAAATAAATTTTGAGCAAATTTCTCACCATCTCCTAAAAAACTAATAAATTCTTAAATCCTTCTGAAGTACCTAGGGGTTCAACGCCCTGGTCACAGTCAAAACGCAAAGGAAACTATCTGCTAAAATGTTAGCATAAATACATAAAATCTTTCAGGCTGCCCTCTAGGCTACCATAGGCAGCTGACTTAGTTGCGGGGGGAGGTAGGTCATGGTGTAGGAATATCAGTCAAGTGGCTTCTCTGGAAACACAAACATCCGGAGCCCATCTTTCTAATTGTTTTCCCCGATGCCTGTGCTATAATATCACTTTTTCGAATTGTTTCAGTCTTCTCAACACCCTAAATGAGTCAGCATGTTGCAACGCGTCCTCCCAAATGTCATTTGCCACTTGTTCTTAAAGGAAAAGGAGGAAATAAATAGAATTCTAATTTAGTAACAACGACAGGAAATAAATTCACACTTCTAGAATCCCTCTGACATTTGGGTATGCCTACTAGAACATTTCTCATTGATACAACATAATAATTATAATTATTAGGTTCCAGAGTATGAGGGCCATTTGCCATCCGTTTTGTTTCTTTCCACATGTATGTTACATGTTATCATTTAAACAGAAAAAGAAAGGAGAAACAGCTGTTTATGGAGACACACATAAATAGATGGGTGGATGAAGCTGTAGGTAGAGATTTGACAATTATCTACAATCAAATAGGGAAAATAGTCAAGGATGTCCAGTCCAAGGTATCTGAGGCTAAGAGGTTGAGTGGGGTTACAACACCTATCTCAGCTATAATGTTTGAATCTGTAATCTGTACAACATATTACTGAATGGTGAGGAGAAAGCAAATGCACTCACACTCTCCACCTGCATTGTTGTTGTTGTTTAGTCACTAAATCATGTCTGACTCTTTGCAACCTCATGGACTGTTATCCTCTAGGTTCCTCTGTCCACGGGATTTCTCAGGCAAGAATACTGGAGTGGGCTGCCATTTCCCTCTCCAGGGGGATTGAACTTGCATCTCCTGCATTGGCAGGTGGATTCCTGCATGACCTCTTAAAAAAGCTAAAATGG